TTCGCGAGAGCATAATTCCATCAGTTGTCCATCAAATTTCGTTTTTTTTTTTGTGTCATTACAATCGGGAAAAGATTCTCTATCATTTCATAAGAAAAATAATTATTTTTTTTTGAAAATTTGCGACACCAGGAGACACCTCAGGATTGGGGGTTGCGACAGTCAAGGGGTTAAACACTGAAAGATATTAACCCTCTGACTGTCGCAACCCTAAATCCTGAAGTGTCTCCTGGTGTTGCAAAAAAAAAAAAAAAAAAAAAAAAAAAAAAAAAAAAAAAAAAAAAAAAAAAAAATTCTTATGAAATGATAGAGAATCTTTTCCTAATGATAATGACACCAAAAGTACAAAATTTGATGGAAAACTTACGGAATTACGCTCTAGCGATTTTAGCGACCTCAGTGACATTTACACATCGGTAATTTCGCCAACTTTGAGCCCTATTTTCGGCTAATTCCATTGTTCCAGTCGACCAAACTCACAGCTATTTCTTTAGAATTTTATTTGTTCTATTGAATGAGTACAAGAAACTGCCCATTTACCAACTTCAACTACCCAGTAAAGTGGTCAGAAATTGGCAATTTGGCCAATTTCATGAAAATTAAAAAATATGTCAATTTCAAAATAGGGTCCAGAATGAACAATGAAGACATTCCTGGCTCTAAAATAACATTTTCTTTGTTTATCAGTCATATCTCCAGGCACCTCTGATATTATTCTTGCTTTCTATTTTGAATTTTTATTCACATAAAAAACAGAAGATTTACTGCTATGCAGACTACTGCAATATTGTAATAATTGTATAAATAACGTCAACCCATTCATGACTGTGTATCAGAATGGCTAGTTGGACATTTATTTGACAATGACATCATTTGTTTACTCTTGAACATCGGCAAAAATCGAACATTTCTGCCACTTTGACCTCCATTTCCAGGTTCTTTTCATAGTAAAACCAATCAAAATCACTTCTATCTCCATAATATGTTTTCCATTCTATCAAATGAGACCAAGAAAACAAGAACACAACCATAAATATTATATGAAAATACACCTTAAAGTCGGTGTTTTAATCCAAAAACACGGTCAGAGTTTTTTTTTCTCATTATGCACTGTGTGCTGCAAGATTTTTTTATACTGCACACACTGACCACACAGACCCATTCTCTCACGTGGGCCTACCAGCTTTCTCCTGCTTTATTTGAAGCAACTAGAATTTTTGAGTATATGTATATACGTCAAACACATTGGCTCGTAAGATGTATATATATGACCAAAACAGTCAAAGGGTTAAATTGATTTTTAAAAAAATTCCATAAGTGTAAGTTCTTTTCAGAGGTCACTTCAAAGCACCTTTTAACCCTTTCAGGGTTTTCGACGTACTAGTACGGCTTTCGCACCAGGGTTATTGACGTACTAGTACGCTTAAATTCTAGCGCCTTCAAATCTATCAAGAGAAAGCTGGTAGGCCTACATATGAAATAATGGGTCTGTGTGGTCAGTGTGCACAGTATAAAAAAATCCTGCAGCACACAGTGCATAATGAGAAAAAAAAAACTTTGACCGTGTTTTTGGATTAAAACAGCGACTTTGCACTATATTTTCGTATGGTATTTATTGTTGTATTCTAGTTTTCCTGGGCTCATTTTATAGAATGGAAGACGTATTACAGAAATTGAGATGATTCTGACTGGTTTTACAATGAAAAGTACCTTGAAATTGAGCTCAAAGTAGCAGAAATGTTCGATTTTTACCAAAGTTCAAAAGTAAACAAATCATGCCAAGCGTCCAATACACGTCAACTGGTAAGTCTAATATTCTTTCACAAGTGCACTGATATTATTTATACCATTTCTACACTAGTGCAGTAGTCTGCATAACAGCAAATCTTCTATTTTTTGTAAGAATAAAAATTCAAAGTGGAAAGCCAAAGAAATATAAGAGGGGCCTGGGGATGTGATTAACGAACAGAGAACTTGTTATTTTAGTGCCAGGAATGTCTTTCTTGTTTATTCTGGAGCCTATTTGGAAATTGGCATCTTCTGAAATTTGTGTGAAATTGGCAAAATTGCCAATTTCTAACCACTTTATTGGATAGTTGAATTTGGTAAATGGGTTGTTTCTTGTACAAATTCGATAGAAAAATGGAGTTCTAGCGAAATAAACATGATTTTTGTCGACTAGTACACTGGAATTGGCCGAAAATAGGGCTCAAAGTGGGCGGAATCACCGATGCGTAAACATCGTTAAGACCCCTAACTTCGCAAGAGCATAATTCTGTAAGTTTTTCATAAAATTTCATACTTTTGGTGTCATTATGATCGGGACAAGATTCTCTACCATTTCATAAGAAATAATATTTTTTTTTTTCAGAAAAATTTTTGACCCTGAGAACAAGTTTGGGAGAGGGCCTCTCGGCCCTGAAAGGGTTAAGCAGTACTTTTGTGTAAAGGTTCTTAAAACTGGAAATTATCTGCTGGTCCATGGGTTGGATAAGAGGAGTGGTGTTAGGGGGCAAGAACTTCACTTTAACCCTTTCACTGTCGAGACCCCCTGCTCACAAACTTGCTCTCAGTGTCAAAAAAAAAAAAAAACTTACGAAATGATAAGAGAATCTTTTCTGGATGGTAATGACACCAAAACTACAAAATTTGATGGAAAACTTATGAAATTACACTCTCGCAAAGTTAGCAGTCTCGGCAATATTTATGCGTTGGCGATTTTGCACATTTTGAGCCCTATTTTCAGCCACTACCATTGTTCCAGTCGACCAAACTCATAGCTATTTCGCTCGAACTCCATTTGTTCTATCGACTGAGTACAAGAAACTGCCCATTTACTGATTTCAACTACCCAATAAAGTGATCAGAAAGTAGTAATTTGGCCAATTTCATACACAATTCAGGTAAGGCTAATTTCAAGACATGATCCAGAATTAATAATATAAACATTTCTAGTACTAAAATAACATTTTCTCTGTTCATTGTCACATCTCTAGGCCCCCTCTTATATTATGTTGTTGTTGGGGTTTGTAGGGCCACTGACAGCATATGCTGTATCGAACCTGGCCTTCCACTGCTTGGAAAAGGAACCTCGACCAAGGTGGAAGTATGTTTGACTAATAACTGCATATTATATGTCCCTAATGCGTCCTGAAGCCAGCAAGAATGTGCAGGTACAGGCCAAGATCTGACGATCCAAAGGGTCAAACCCCTCCCCACTGAGAAGGAGAGGCAGAGTTAAAGATTGCAACTAAAATGTGCGGAAGGCCACACAGAGAATAGTAAGTGCAAAGTGGTAACGTGGGCACCACAGCAGGAAGTGTTCCACTGCCTCAGGCTGTGAGAGACACCACGGACAATACAGAGGGTCCGTCATCCAAAGGCAGTGCAGATGAGCTGGCAGTCATGAGTGCCCAACTGGAGGCGAGTCAGTGCAACATCTACTGAGCAATTGGGATGGTGAGCCCGAGGGCAGGGGTCATTGAAAGATCAGACAGAGCTCAATGCCAAAGAAGAGAGGGAGTGTACCTGGTCCTCCTGCCACAAATGGCAGATTTCTTTCCAAACAGTCCTTGTGAAATCACTGCAGCCCAGTGCAAGAGGGGTAATGGAAGAGCTCAAAGTGGGTGAAATCGCCGATGCGTAAATATCACCGAGATTGCTAACTTCATGAGAGCATAATTCCGTAAGTTTTCCATCAAATTTCGTACTTTTGGTCTCATTACCATCACGAAAATATTCTCTGTCATATAAGATTTTTTTTTTTTTAAATTCTTCAACACTCAGAGCAAGTTTGTAAGCAGGGGTCTCAACAGTTAAAGGGTTAATGAACAAAAACTGACGAGAGACTGAGTGTATGATGCTTCGTTTTCGTCGGACTTCATCAAAATGGACTGTTTTGTTTAGGTCAAATATCAGGGCAACGTCCAAATACAGTCAAAATTTTCATGCAAAAGTTGGGTGAATATCAAGTTGCATGTATGCCAAGCCAATGATGATTCTTTTCAAATTGCTTGTTCTCTCTAGGCTGGAATATTGCTGTACACTTTCAAGGCATGCAAAACCAAAGACCTGAAGAATATATGGAGAACCTTTACTGCATGTTTAATTACTGGGAATGGGTGAAGGCCCTTGACCTATACTCCTTGGAATGCAGACAAGAAAGATAAATGATAATATCCACTTGGAAAGTGAGTGTAAAATGGAAACCTGTAATTGTTTTAGATGATGGCAGGATTGCTGGTGTCTTTTTTCTGTCTCATAAACATGCAAGATTTCAGGTACGTCTTGCTACTTTTTCTTACACTTAGGCCACACTACACATACATGTATACAAGCATATATATACACACCCCTCTGGATTTTCTTCTAATTTCTTTCTAGTGGAGCATAATTCTTCCTCTGTAAGCCATGTGTGTTGTAAGAGGCGACTAAAATGCTGGGAGCAAGGGGCTAGTAACCCCTTCTCCTGTACAAAATACTAAATTTAAAAAGAAAAACTTTCATTTTTCTTTTTGGGCCACCCTGCCTTGGTGGGATACAGCCAGTTTGCTGAAAAAAAAAATCCACTTGGAAAATCCTAGAGGGACTAATCCCAAATCTACACACCAAAATCACTCCTCACAAAAGCAAAGACTCGGCAGGAGATGCAACATCCCCCCCAATGAAAAACAGGGGTGACATGAGTATGCTAAGAGACAGCACAATAAGTGTCAGAGGCCCAAGACTGTTCCACTGCCTCCCAGCATACATAAGAGGGATTACCAACAGATCCCTGGCTGTCTTCAAGAAGGTGCTGAACAGACACCTAAAGTCTGTACCTGACCAGCCAGGTTGTGGCTTCTACGTCAGTTAGCGTGTGGTCAGAGGTAACAGCTTGGTTGATCAGACCCTGATCCACCACAAGGCCTGGTCACAGACTGGGCTGTGGGGTCACTGACCTTTCAGAATGCCCTCCAATTATACTCCAGGTATACCGACCTGTAACATTCACCACTGACCTGTAATATTCAGCTTGTTCCACTTGTAATCTTCAAGGTTAAATGCATAAACATCATTGAAGTATTTAAATTCTCGAGAATTGTCATGAAAACCTCCAAACACAATGAGCTGCTTCTTGACCAGGACCATCCTGTGTCCGCTGCGTGCACACGGTCCTCCACCTGACCTGAAACATAAACAATATAATAACATTCACTACCTTCCAGCACACATAAGGGGGATTACCAATAGACCACTCGCTGTCTTCAAGAAGGCACTGGACAGGCACCTAAAATCAGTACCTGACTAGCCAGGCTGTGGTTCGTATGTTGGATTGCATGCGGCAAACAGCAACAGCCTGGTTGATCAGGCCCTGATCCACCATGAGGCCTGGTCACAGACCGAGCCACGGGGGCACTGACCCCTGAAGCCCTCTCCAGGTATACTCCAGGTATACCAAGGAGGAAGAACAACAAACTTAACTTTAACTCTTTCACTGCCTCCCATGTATATACAGAGGACCCCCTGTTATCGGCCGGTTTGGCTATCGGCCAACTCGGTTATCGGCAGGGTTTTCAGCGCCCGGTTACTGGCCGTTCGCTCGGTTATCGGCGGTTTTGGATGCGTCCATCCGCTGGCTGGGGCAGCTTGTGCTTCAGTTTGACTTTGTCTCTTGGTGGTTGAGGAAGCTTCTGCTCGTACAACCAAACATTTCACTTGTTTAACATTGTTTTTAGTGGTTTTTCTTGCAGTGCAACTGTGAAATAAGTAAAGTTGGCACCAAAGAAAGTTCCTAGTAAAGTTCCTGTGGTAAAGAAAGTGAGAAACACCATGGAATTTAAGCGTGAAGTGACAGAAAAATTTGAGTGGAATGAAGGTGGTGGAACTTGCCAGGATGTACAACAAGAATAAATCAACAATTACATCCATCCTGGCAAAGAAAGAACAAATCAAAGATGCTAATGTTGCAAAAGGAGTAACTTTTCTAAGTAAACAAAGGCCACCAATAATGGAAGAGATGGAAAAGTTATTATTATTGTGGATTAAGGAAAAAATTAGTGGGAGACAGTGTTGTGGAGTCTACTATTTGTGAGAAGGCAAAGCAGATGCATGAAGATCCTGCAAAGAAAATGCCTGAAACAAGTGCTGCAGTTTGTGAATTTAGGGCCAGCAAAGGATGGCTTGATAGATTTAAGAAGCATAGTGGCATACACAGTGTTGTAAGTCATGGTGAGGCAGCAAGTTCTGACAAATGTGCAGCTGAAAAGTATGTTCATGAATTCCAGGACTATGTAAAGGCTGAAGGATTCGAACCCCAACAAGTGTTCAATTGTGACGAAACAGGCCTGTTTTGGAGGAAAATGCCAAACAGGACCTACATTACCCAGGAGGAAAAGGCACTGCCAGGACACAAGCCTATGAAAGACAGGCTTACTCTTTTTATTATTTTTTATTTTTTATTTTTATTATCACACTGGCCGATTCCCACCAAGGCAGGGTGGCCCGAAAAAGAAAAACTTTCACCATCATTCACTCCATCACTGTCTTGCCAGAAGGGTGCTTTACACTACAGTTTTTAAACTGCAACATTAACACCCCTCCTTCAGAGTGCAGGCACTGTACTTACTCTTTTGTTGTGTGGTAATGCTAGTGGGGATTTCAAAGTGAAGCCTTGACTCGTGTATCACTCAGAAAATCCAAGAGTGCTCAAGAAAAACAATGTCATGAAGAATAGATTGTGTGTGATGTGGAAAGTTAATCATAAGGCATGGGTCACAATGCAAATTTTCAAAGAGTGGGTTAATGATGTGTTTGGCCAAAGTGTGAAAAAATACCTCCCGGAAAAGAAATTGCCACTCAAGTGCCTCCTGGTACTGGACAATGCTCCTGCACATCCTCCAGACTTGGAAGACCAAGTGTTTAGGGACTTAAGTTTTATAAAAGTTCTTGCCTCCTAACACCACTCCTCTCCTCCAGCCCATGGACCAGCAGATCATTTCTAACTTCAAAAAGCTCTACACAAAAGCAGTGTTTCAAAAGTGCTTTGAAGTGACCTCGGACACTCAGTTGACCCTAAGAGAGTTCTGGAGGAATCACTTCACTATCCTCCATTGCATAAGCCTTATAGGTAAGGCTTGGGAGGGAGTGACTTCCAGGACTTTGAACTCTACTTGGAGAAACCTGTGGCCAGATTGTGTCCAAGAGAGGGATTTTGAACGGTTTGAGACTCACCGTGACCCTGCCGACCCTGTGAACTCTATTGTGTCTTTGGGGAAGTCCCTGGTGTTGGAGGTGAGTGGTGAGGATGTGGAAGAGTTGGTGGAGGACCACAGGGAAGAGCTTACCACTGAAGAGCTGCAAGAGCTTCAACTTGAACAGCAACAGACTGCAGCTCAGGAATTTGCTTCAGAGGAGGAGGAAGATTAAAGAGGTGTGTGCAATGTGCACTATGGTGCAAGCTTTTGTAGAGAAACACCACCCTGACAAAGCTGAAACAAGCCATGTCTGCAACATGTTTTGTGACAAAACCCTGTCCCACTTCAGGGAAATCTTAAAGAGACGCCAGAAACAGAGCACTCTGGACAGTTATTTTGTGAGACAGGGGTCTAGTCACTCTCAAGCTGGTTCTAGTGGCATTAAAAGACAGTGAAGGGAAGTAATCCCAGAGAAGGCATTACTACTTAAAGTCTTCATGGAGGGGGATTTCCCTTCCAAACACTAGCTCCTCCCTCTTTCCTCCTCACTATCTTCCAGAAGCCAGCATTAGCCTTCAATATAGGAATGTAATACTTACATAATTGTAAAAAAATTTTTTTTTTTTTTGTGAATATTTTTGTTGGGAACGAATTAATTTTATTTTCATTAATTCTTATGGGAAATATTAATTTGGTTATCGGCCATTTCGGTTATCAGCCAACCTTCAGGAACGGATTGCGGCTGATAACCAAGGGTCCACTGTACATATTTCTGAGGCCCCATGACACTTATGTGCATCTATGTATGTAAAAAGATAAAGATAACATAAAGATAAAGGTTTATTCCTTTGTAAGGGTTGCAATGTATAATTACAATTTTGGTTTGCTAAGTACAAAGAAAGCCACTATCATGCCAGGGCATTTCAGGCAGACTAATCTTAATATAGTGGTTCCTCATTTTCCGTAAGCATCGCAAGTCATATTTTTTGAAAATCGTAACGTTTTTTCGTCAAAACATTGACTCGCAAATTGTCATTCGACTCGCAAATAGTCATTCGTCCCAGACACGTACACATGCCTCGAGCAGCCCCACACTTCATTCCCAGCCAGTGTGCCATTGTTTATCAGTGAGTGAGGACTCACACGTTTATACAATACATTTCATAATATTCCATTCGCTTTAGTGCTTGCAACTGGTAAATAAGCCACCATGGCTCAAAAGAAAACTTCAAGTTCCAGCCCTTTGGTAAAGAATGTGAGAAACACGATATAATTCAAGAAAAAGTTTGTAGAAAAATATGACAGTGGTGGTGGTAGAAGGTCATAGAGGGTGGTAGTGATGGTGGTAGAAGGTGATAGCAGTTGTGATAGTGGTAGAGGGTGGTAGTGATGGTGGAGGAAGGTGCCTTCTTCAGTAATTCAGTGATTCTACTAACTCCTCAAATACTGTTGGAATTATATAGGGCTACAGAAAACACCACCGCCTCAGCTGCAGCCTTCACCACCATTACGGATGGCTTATGCTCTCAGTGGCCCTTATACACCCAAGAACAACAACACACCTCTCGTGACATACATAATGCCTTATTTTATTCAGTCTAGAGTATATTCCATGTTTCTATGTTATATTGTTTATTATGTCATACTAATTGAATTGTGATAGATAAATAAGCCGTAGAGTTGATATTAGTGTCATATTCTCCAACAATAAACTTGCCTCCCCTCCCTTTGCAATACACCAACAAAAGTCTTCAATAAAGGTAAGTGTGATGTTAAATGTTCATTTATACATTTTATTAGTGCTTTACATCTGTCATTCTTTTCTGCAAGTAAATCCATATTTAAGCTAGGGAAGTGGCTAGGAAAGTGACCCCTGATAAGGACTTGGTATTTAGAGTCCTCATGGAGGGAGATTCCCCTTCCAAACAATAACCTCTCTTCCCTCTTCCCCTCCCTGTCTTCCATCCATCAACAACAGCCATCAATAATGGTAACTGTCATGTTGAATGTTCATTCTTTTGTGCATGTAAATCTATCTTTAAGTAAAAAACAGTTTTTGTTGATACTTCTGGGTGTCTGGAACAAATTAATTGTATTTACATCATTTCTTATGAGGAAAATGGTCACACTCTCTGGAATGGATTAATTACCAAAAATGAGGAACCACTGTACATACTAACTACTTAAAACTAGACAGATAATAGCACATAGTAACTACAGTAGACCATCGTTTAACAAGGTTTTGTCTTGCACGTTTTGGTTATAGCACAACTGAAAAATTGTGGCATATTTTTGTTTAACAAGTCATAAAATTAATTTAACACGGTTGAGGGAGGGAAAAAATTTTGAGTGCACAGTCGCCCGCGGGGCAGGATGGGCTACTGCCATCCCCCACCAGCATTAGCCACCCCCACCACCCTCCCAGCCATAAGCTCACTTCATGCGTGTGTTGGACGAACATGTGCAAGTAGCTCACTGTGTTTGTTTACATACATAATAATTGCCATATCTTAAATCTACCAAGCAAGCATGGCACCCAGTAGGCATACAAGTGTTGCTGAAAGTTGCATTTGAGTCTTAGAAGTAACTAAGAAAACAGAGATATTAGACAAGAGATAGCCCGTAGCTGGAATGAAGCGTCATTTTGTACACAAAAAGAATGAGGTAAATATGAGTTTGTGTGATGACTGACTGACTGACTTGACTGACTTATTTATTGACCTGACTGACTGACTTCAGTGACTTGACTGACTGACTGAATGACTTGACTAATTTAACTGAATAACTTGACTGACTTACTGACTGGACTGACTGAATGACTTACTGACTTGACTTACCGAATGACTTGACTGATTTACTGACTTGTCTGAATGACTTACTGACTTGACTAAATAACTTACTGACTTGACTGAATGACTTGACTGATTTACTGACTTGACTGACTTACTGACTTGACTGACTGGCTTACTGACTGATCTGACTGAATGACTTG